CTAATAAAATGTGTGAGAAGTTGCATGTTGGCATGTGATGTGTTTTTTGTTTTTTTGTTTTTTGTTTTTGTTTTTTTTTTTTTAACCACGCTTCCACTTTTCTCTCCCCTTAACTCTGTGTCTCTCTTTCCTTGGATGAAACCTTTCACGATGTATGTACGATCAGGTCTCTATCCTCCACCGCTTTGACTCAGTCTATTCCGTCCACCATCGGCAACATGATCAACCTTTGAGTCAGGTCAGCTAAAGTCTGGCCATCGAAGCCCATCAATGATAATCGATTGGCTTCACACCAAGCCTAACAGAGGCCCATCACATGGTGTCAGGCACATGCTGCCCACTGATCTGTGTGAAACTGCGATCTCTTGACCAACTCTACGACAATTAGCACGCTGCCTGTCAGATCTGAGTGATCCTAGATCCGAACACACTCGTATCAGGCCAGAAAACGGCAGGCCACAGGAAGCAAGCCTGTCAATGCCCAAATTGTGACTTGATGCAGGTCAGAGGTAGGCCTTGGTCCGACCCCATTCGCCTATGTAATGGACTCAGGCACACCATCAACAGCAGATGAAAGTTCTGCTCCCCTTAGTTAGGCCAGTCTTTTGCAATCTTCATGCTGTACTCTTCATTGCTGTTTTTGGCTTATACATATGAATGTTTGTGTAACATTCAGAATTTCTCCTAGAGTTTCATTTTCTAATACCCATTCTTCCGAAAAGAAATTGTCTAACAAAGAATTGCTGTTCTGAAAGAACATGATTGTGATCAAACTTGGAAACATCTGCTAGGATAAGCACCTCATCTTACATTTAGGTCTCAAGATTCCATGATAACTTTCGCAACCGTCCAAAACCGGCTACTACAATGTGCACCCTCGTTGTAATGATATGTTTCCAACTTCCGTATTTCTACTACTTACCCCCAACTGTTTCAGCACAACTCATTGTTTCTCTAACTCTGGAACCCCTCGGACGTGTATGCTTCAGGGATCTTAGCAACAACGGTCTGACAGGGTCTATCCCATCCACCATCAGCAATATGAGAAGCCTCGTAATCATGTCAGTAGGGAGATAATCTGATAAATTATTGACTCTCAGTTTCTATGGTTATTAGGTGGTTATTGACTTTCGTGTTTCTATGGTTTCAATGGTTTCTGTTATGGTTTAGGTTAACTCTAAACTGAAGCACGAGGTGGTTTTTGGTATGATAATAAGAATGCACGGTATGCATGAGCAAGGAACAGGTCAGCCCGAGTCGGGCTGTCGAGGCCCATCAGCAGTGATGTGTCCGTTTCACATCCAACCTGCCAGAGGTCCAACACAAGTTTATGGTAGGCATGAGCAAGTGCCAAACCCTAAAACCATGCCAAACCTTGTCGAGCCGTGTGACCTGGTCGAACCCAACCGGTGTGGCGCAGGTCCGTCGGTAACCTTGAGGTGCTCAATGCTAAATATGTCAACCCCATTGCTGAACTTTATTTTCCTTATCCCAGATCCAATATCACTTTGTGTTGTTTGTGCTCACTGTAGAGGAAAATATTACTCCCAACTCTCCTACCATCTGTTTTTGCAACTTTCGAATGTGCTTGGTAGCAATGGTTTGACATGACTGCATCTGTTCCATGTACGGTCAACATCTGCTGCCATAACCACGTGCCAATGAGTTCGTGGTGGATATGGGTTCTAATCTTTTGCTGTAATCATTACCTGTTCCACCCATAAATCCTATTGCATGCTACTCCTAGGGATCTTGAGAGAAACGCTCTGAGTGGGTCTATTCCGTCCACCATCGGCAACATGATCAACCTTCAACAAATGTGAGTATCATCAAGGGAGAAATATGAGCCCACATGAGCTGGGAAAGGAACATAACTAAGTAGATTTACATATATGGTGATTTTATGTTAGCTTGATGAAATGATGATACACACTAGGTATGTTGGACCCAGCCAAACCTCTGACCCGGGGCGGGGGTTGGCCTGTGCTGGGTCGGTCTCATATCACGCCTGCCAGTGGTCTGCGGCAAGGGGACAGGCTGGGTTCGTCCACTAGTCCGCGCAACGGCGTCATATTGCTGGCCTGTCATAGTTTAAGATTTCTGGTTTTAAGTCATGATCAGGCCGCATGGTCGGGCCAGACTGAAATTCTTGCATGTCCCGCATGTTGGTCTTGGTACGGCATTTAGTAGCGATTGGAGCAGGGCCAGCGCGTTCAAGGGTGTTTCCTAATAGGTGCTGGTTGGGTTGACCAACAATTTGAAAGTTGGGTTTTGACCAACATTATGGGAGACTGAACAAGAGAGCTTCAAACAAAAAATTGTGAAGGAGAAGTCTTCCATTTATGAGATTCAACTGAGTTGAGGACCTAAGGTATACAAGGGCATAGTCTTGGTAGGGTTGGCCAACAATTAATGGACTCCAATATTTTTAGGTTGATTTGACCAACATTATTAGAGGACCAATGGTTGGTGGGAAACCAACCAAAATTCCAACCACAAATTGCTGTTGGAGGGTACACCCAACAACCCCTTAATGCATCCGCCAGCTGCACCTCCTATTCTCGCCTGTGTATGTTGTATAACAGTGTTACAACCAAAGAGATAGGGAGGAGTAGACCCGAGCAAAGGGCGAACATGAACATGTTTGCGTTCGTCCGTGCCCGAACACATTTTAGAGAAATGCTGTTTGCCTGTTCGCCACAGGGGTGAACACTTAGGGTGTTCGCTTCGAGCATGAAAATGTTAGTGCTCGCCTAACCAGAAGCCCTTGTTATAGTCAAACTTTACAATTCTGGCTTTCCGGGCTTGCCTGTAAGTTTTTTTAGTAATCGTAATTCAAGGGCGAGCGCTGGACTCAGTCACTTGGGGCAAGCAAAATTTTCCACCAGGACTTAGTTATCCATGCTAACTTGATATCGTCTCATAAGATGGGCAGCTTGTTTGTGTTATGCTCACAATAAAACACCTTTTCGAATATGTAGCTCATACCACAGTTACATTCCAGCATAACATGTTTTTTTGCCACCCTCCCTCTGTGATACCGCTCGTTCCTTTCCCACCTTTGGTTCGTTCACTTCTGTTTTAACGTATCAATGTCATAATTCCGTTTGCATGTGATTGGTAGCAATGGTTTCACTATATCAGTTACTATAAACACATGCTTGCAGCAGATGAGTATCAGCAAGACAATTTTTTCATGGTGTGAATTGTGTTTCTTTTTTTCTTCGACATCCAATTCCTTCGTTGCACCTACAATACCCCTTGGATCTTGTACCATCAGGCACCTTGCCAGCAATGCATTGAGCGGGCCTATTTCATCCACCATCGGAAGCATGAGCAACCTCGATACCTTGTGAGTCATCGAGGGAGAAAGGAGAGATGCTAAATGAGCTGGGAAAGGCACGTTGTATCTCATGGATATTGCGGTCTCATGGATGTTCCCTAACAATACCCCTGTTCCCTCCACTGGAGCTTTTTGATTTCATGGAATGTGCGTAAGATTTGGTTCTGTATAGGCGATTTTGAACCAGTTTTGCATCAAAATCGTAGTCATGTTGGAGTTGTAATCAGAAAAAAAAAAAAATTGTAGGCTACCCAACCAAAAAAAAAAAAAAAAAAAGGCGAGTGTCCTGCGGTTGGCGAGCGTCCAGCTTTTAGCATACGCTGGACGCTTTCACGCCAGAGCATGTATGCCTACTTAGGCGTGTAACACGTATATGCAGTCATGGCAGCAGACCATGGCTAGCCACCAGAACTACAGGGCTCAAAGGGCTGAACTTAAACTACTTCAACCCGCAGCTACTGTCTTGTGTCAGGTATGGGATGTTTTTCGTGGCCTACAAATACAAAATTCTACGTGTTTTTTGCAACCTCACGCTTGACTGCCGACTGGATAGCATAACAATCCCACTACGACCAGTTTAACCATGTTAACCTAAAATTGCCTCAGAGAATGTGTGGCTCCTGCCACAATCTGAAGTCAACATGTTATTTTTGTTTTTTCTACTTGGTCTATTCTGTCTAATATCTATCATTTTCGTCTCAGTAATGTCAGTTGGAACAGCCTCACTGGCCAACTTCCTCCAACAGTGGGCAATGTCAGTCTTCTTTCGAACCTGTAAGGCACTTAGCATATTAGAATGTTGCCAATTGTACCATAGAAACGTTGAAGCATTTCACAATAAGGACGTGTGCAAGGTACCAAGGTTTTCAACTGGTGTTATTGCAACCACGGGTAGGAGGTAAACAAAACTGTAAGGTTGGGCGCTGGAATACCAAGGGGCGATATTAGACTGGCCTATTCCAATCATCTTCGCCCGACAGCTATCGAACTGGGCTGGTTCACATATAAGTCATTTTCTAATGCCAGCAAAAGTATCGATGTATGGTTGACCGATCCTTTCAACCTGTAAGACATTTTGCCATAATATAGTGTTGGAATGAACTACCATACTTCTCCATTACCAACCTCAGAGCGTTTCACTGACACCTGAAACTCGTTTGTGATTCGTTGTTTGAAAACGCCCCATGTGCTTATGCAGAGACATATCTTGGACTACAATCACATGCCCTCCTGACTACAGCAACTGTGTAGTTCTGCAGACTGCTTCAAGTGCTTGCTGCAGGCAGTGTAGCTCTTTCTGCTCCACATGTGACACGTCACGACCAGGTGAAATGCATTATCTTTATGCACGTGGCCGTAATTCATATACTATTACACTTTTCTCTCATTTTTGCTGCACAAACACTGAATCACCACCTACAAAACGAACTTTCTCAGTGACAGCATCCACAGCTTAGCGACTCCTCATAACATACAACAGTGCACTTCTGTTGTATGCCCGCTCATGGATGCTACTAAAGAACGTCTAGCCCAGCTTTTCAATGCCTTCCGTTGCTTCCTCTCCCTGTGCAAACTGTACTATGTGTCACATCCCCTTTCATAACGCCCACCATTATCCCCATATCTGAGTGCCTTTTCACTCCCAATCTCCATCTTCCTACTCCATAAATGCACGCTCGCCATCGCCAGTGCCCACACCCTCTCCACCTCCTAGTGAGCCTGCAGCGTCTCCCTCCCAGTCTGGTGGCAGTTTATCGAACGAATTCATTGTTGGCATTGCTGCTCTTGGCGCTTTGGTTTTTCTCGTGCTGCTGCTGTTCACCTGGATGCTGTGCAAGCAATGCTTCACCAAAGGGGCAGCAACAGGAGGTGATATCGGCATTGATGTGCATGGCAAGAGACTGGCAGCTGAGAGTGTGCTTCAAGGTAAGATGTTTGGTTTGAGTAAAACCGGCGCCCAAACATTTTTTGCCAGGTGAACCGCACCAAAACACCGTTCAAGATCTTGCTCATATTACTAAGCGCACTAGTATCATCTTGGGAGGTAGGCGGGTAGTCTTGGCAAGCAATGCCAGCAGTGGATTTTTTTTGGGATTAACGGCCGCTGCAGCAAACAACTCACGCAAGACATTGGGACATAAACCCTAAGTGGAGGGTGGGCGAGGAGCATATGGCCAAGAGGAGCCCATCGCCAACACTAGGGCTAAGGAGGGAGTGGGGCACTGTGTACGGGCAGAGAGAGGATTTGGGGTGGTGCATGTGTCTCTGCTCCGAGTACCTGCTCCACCAGTCAAGCTGACTGCATCACCACAGCCAGCGTTTTCTGGGGTGACCGGTGAAGGGCGTGATTGAATCAGAGTCAGGAGGAGATGGGTGGTCAAAATACAGGAGCCGAGAGAGGTGTGGGCTTGGCAGGCTTAAACGGACGTAAGGCCGCATCAGTCGAAAGCCAGTAGCGTGGTAGGCAGCTTAGTTGCGGAAGACGCGTCTAGCGTCTTAGACGCGTCCGTAAAGACGCAGCGTCTAAGACGCTAGACGCTAGGCAGCATGGATTAGACGCACTATTAGACGGAAACCTGGGCAGGCCTAAAAAAAAGTTTGGGCAGCCCAAAAAAAGTTCTATGGGGCATGGGGAGGGTGGGGAACATGCACCTATGTCACAAAAGGGTGAAATTTTCCCCCTACCATATTTTCCGAGATCGCGCACTTTCTCCGACCCGAGCCGGTTCCTGCGCGCCGTGTGCACGCCATCCCATGTAGACCAGTTCCGCTCGCACGGGGAAGCGGAAACGGGCTGGGACAGCGAACGCCGCGCAATGCGCGCCAGGTCGGCGTACTCCCATCCATTGTACTGCCACCACAACATCACATTCCCCTTCCTTAACTGAATCTGCTCGCGCCCCTCGATCGCGGTCTGCATGCCGAATCCTCCATCGCGGTTGATGTAGGCCGTCACCCCCTCATGCAGTGGCCGCACCGGTCCCTTCTTGCCGCGGGACTTCTTCCCGCGAGACTTCTTCCAGTACGTGTCGACGAAGGCCTTTTGGCGCTCCAGCCACTCATGCATGTCCCTGGTGCACTCCACATCCTGCAGAAAAATCCCCTCCTCCTGGTTGGCCAGGTTCGAGATCCGGCCTGCCACGTGGAAGGGGCAAGCCAGGCTCTCGTCCCAACGCCTCCTCAAATGCTCCCGCACCATGTCCTTATCCGCCCTGCTCCGCTTGCACTCCTTCCCATCCAACCGCTTATCCAACTCCTCCGTCAGCTGCAGCATGATGTCGTAGAGCTGGCCCATCATCCCCTTTACCGCTGAATCCGTCCTCCGCATCACGTTGTATAACAGCTCCATCACGGACAGGAAGACATCCGCCTTCTTCCACCACCCCGAGTCCATCACCCACCCCTCGAAATCCGCTCCCGTCAGCGTGTTCCCCCCCTTCTCCGGCCAATACTTGTGTGTCACCATCGCCGTCAGCTGCTGGCGAACGGCGCGCAGACGAGACACTGCGATGAATTGCGTTCCAAAGCGCGTGCCTGCCGAGCGCAACACCTGCATCGATTTCTCCTCGCTGTGCAGCTCCGGGTCACGCATGAAGGCGCGTGTCCACTAGTGCCCGCGCACGAAGGAGATGATGTTGTCAGCCTGGGTCACGACCACCTTCATCCAATCCATCTTGCCGATGTCCTCCATCAGCAGGTCCAGCACATGCGTGGCGCAGGGAACGAGGTCGAGATGCGGCCACTCCTTCTGCAACAGCTTGCCAACAGTTTTGTAGTTGCTTCCGCCATCCGTGCACAACGCCACGACGTGCCCTGCCCCGATGCGCTCGATGATCGGCCGTAGAACGCTGGCTATGAACACGCCACTCTTCGTCACCGCCTTGCAGTCGACCGCCTCAACGAAGACCGCTCCAGTGTCGTTGATGCAGATGATGTTTATCTACGCGCGGCCGCCCTTGTCTTGCATCATGTCGCTGGCGATGGTCACGCCCGTCTCCCTCCACGACTTCGTCACTGGCGACAACGCCTTCTCGATCCGCTGCTTGCACTCATGCAGGCCGGCGCCTCCGACGTAGTGCCGCGTGGGGGGGACGTAGTTCGGGCCGGCAGCGGTGACGGCTCGCAGCATGTTGAGGAAGAGCGGGTGCTCGCACTGAGACTCCGACGTGCGCGTTCCCGCGAGGTAGAGGACGATCGCCTCGTCGGCCGCCCACCTTGCCGCCATTCCACCCTCGCCGTAAAGGTCCTCCATGCGCCCGCGCTTCCCCTTCCCTTTTGCCTCGCTCCTGCCGCTCACCGCCGCGATCGCCGCATTCGGAGCACGCGCCTTTTGGTTGCGCGCACGAATCTTATCCTCGAACATCTCGCAAATCTCAGTGGAAATTTCCTTCGGCACATCCTTGCAAACGACTCCCGCCTCGCGTCGCCGGTGGGGGCCGTTCCACTCGGCGAGATGCTCGGGAGCCTGACTACTACTGAACGAAAACTTCTTGCACACCACAAACACTCCACTTGCTCGCCCTTTTTCTTAGGATCCATAAAAAAGTAGTAGTGCTTGTAGATCGGGTGTTCGGGAAACCTAGACTTCTAGGCAATCCCCTCCATTTCCCTAGAAACACGAGCGGAAGTACCCACGCCGACAGCATTCTCGCTCGCGGAGGATGAGCTAGACGAACGGCTACTAGAAGAAGACATGGTTGCTAAACCCCTAGGGTTTCCAAAAGAGAATTGGAAGAAATGAAAGTTGGGAAGCACAATGAGGGATTTGTGCTCCCCAACCTTTTGGTGGTTATCCATAGAAGTTGGGATTTCTAGATACTAAGTGGTGATGTGTGGTTTCAAGTTCAATTTTGGTTGGGGGGGATTCAATTTTGATTGGGGGGGATTCAATTTTGCTTGGGGGGCTGGTTTTTGTGGTCGAAATGGATGGGAAGTGGTTCATATAGCGTGAAATTGAGTTTCGCGTTGAAATGGCGAAATTCAATTTCGCGCGCGGGTATTCTTTTCCGGGCTGCCCGAAAAAACTTCAACCAAACGTCTTGCGTCTAAAGTCGCGTCTTGCATCTAGACGCAAGACGCAAGACGCGACTTGCGTCTTCCGCATCTAAGGTAGGCAGGGCCAATTAGGAGGAGGACCCACATCAATGCATGCCACTCTGCTTCAGGTGGAGGGTAAACGAGAGAGGTGGGGTCTTGGCAGCCACTGCAAGGCATCTATGGAGAGTCTTGGCACATGTAGAGGTACGGGGTTCGGAGGCTGACATTGCACGCCTCCACTACCATGGAGAAGTCCCCACCTTCTCTGGATGGACTGGGATGGGTGGAGGAGTGGGGGGAGGGGAGAGAGAAGAATTCAAGCTAGGTATTTTGAGATATTGTACGTAGGTTAGTGCCACATCTTCTTGGCTTCTGCAAAGCATAGTTACTGGTTGGATAATCCACTCTCCATTCCTTGATCTGTTCACTTCTTCCCTTTAAGGGGGGGTGAGGGGAGGGGGGAGATAAAGGTTTAGCAAACAGCTTTGGTGTCAGCATGGCAAAGTAAAGGTTGGCGAACTTGTTTGCTATGGATGTGACTGAATACTTGTTCTAGGAAACAATTCATCCTGTCTTGACCCTTACTTGCTAGGATTCGCAAATGAACCTATGGTGCTTGCTGGTCCTTCCCAAGTCCCTAAAAAACCAGTGTATGTGTATTGAAGACTGAAGACTGCAGGCCCCTCAGCTCCTCGATCATTCTCTTTCCCTTTCACCAACTCTCTCATACCGTTGCAGGATCAAGAGATGCGGACAAGGATCCAGCAGCAGCAGGAGCGGCTGCTGCAGCAGCTGCGGCAGGTGCAGCAGCAGTGCCAACACTAGCGGCAGTAGAAGAGGAGGCCATGGCAGTTGCAGCAGGTGCAGCTATAGCGCTACCACAAGCAGCAGCGGAAGAGAACGCTGCAGCTTCTGCTGCAGCTGCAGCAACAGCAGCCCAAGGGAGGCAGGATGATAGTGTCGTGGTGGAGAGAGAGGCAGCACGGCCATATGTGTGTTGAGAATACTCCCTGACAGAGATGGCCATGGCCACAGGAGAGTGGGCAGAAGGAAATAAGATAGGAAGTGGCAGCTTTGGGGATGTCTACAAGGGTGTGTCGCCCCACGACTACAATCAAGCGTGGGCAGTCAAGCGAGCTCGCGTGCTCACTAATGACTTTCAAAGAGAGGTACCTTGCTGTAAGGTTTCGTTGGCAGGTTAGTGCTGCATATCTTCTTGGTTTCTTCTCCAACTCCATGCGTGAATCCTGATTGACTAATACATTCTTCTTTGAACTGTTCCCTATTTTTGCTTTCAGGTGAAAGAGATGGCAAGCAAACACCATCCGCATTTCGTGCGTTTGTTGGGCTATTGTATTGATCTGGATGTCTCCACTCGAATTGTGGAACAGATTCTGATTTACGAGCTCATGCCCAACAGCGACCTTGACAGCTGGATCGGTCCTGGTGTCTCTAACCCCCTTTCACTTCGTCAAAGGCTATACATTCTGATTGGAGTGGCAAAGGGGTTGCAGTACCTTCATGACTTTGGCATTGTGCATCGCGACATCAAGCCAGCCAACATACTCCTTGATGAAAAAATGTAGGCATGTGAACACTCATTATGCGTATCACTAATGTGGTGAAATATGCCTACTCTTATCCATCCTCTCCCAACCAATGTATTGAACAGCCTAGCATGGAGTCACCCACATGCTCGTCATTTTGTACATTGGTGATGTTATTATCGATGGGCAGGCCAAGATTGCGGACTTTGGGCTCGTGAAGCTGGGTGGAGGCACCGCTGTGGGGACGTCCATAGCCGCCACTCGAGTGATGGGAACGCCGGGCTATGTGGACCCTGCCTACTACCAGTCTCACAAGGCCACTCCAGCAGCAGATGTGCACAGGTGAGCTTATTGGCACAAATCAGAAGATTGATGCCGGTGAGCACATTAACGTAAAAAAATCATCCTGACACGCACTCGAAGTGGATGCTAAATATTCTACTGCCTTGCAGCGCCTATTTTTCTACCTTGCAGCGTCTCATAATTATGGGGAGTTCATGCCTGACACTGAAGGCATCTCTAGACATGTTTGATCAATCAGAGAGTCTGATGATGCTTGGTTATGTGAGATAGGGCTTGGGTTACAATCTCTTGATAGAGGAAGACAATGAATGTAATACTTCGACCATAAGACGTGTGTGCATTTGAGCACAATTTCGAATATGATGTTTTCATTCATTTCTTGATTTGCAGTTTTGGCGTGGTGATGTTGGTGGTCATCACGGCGCGCAAGGCTGTGCACATGTCAGGGGATAATCATATCAATCTCAAACAATGGGTGAGACACACAAAACCACTTTATCCCAAGGCTATCAGGGGAAGTGCACGATATGTCTTATCCAGCTGCATGGAGTGAGTGTGCTTGCTACTACTAACATTCTTACTACCACTACCATTCTTGCTATTACCACCATTCTTGCTACTACTACAATTCTTTCAAGTTTTTTTTTCAGATTTGCTTATATCAAACATATGTAGGCCAGTTCATGTGCTCTTTAACTCCTTTCTCAGCAGTACACATTTTGGAATGAGCAAGAAAATTTCAGCAAAGATGAACACTCAACGTTTTGCCTCATCATACATGTACGATACAATTTACCTTATATCATTCTGCTTCCCGCCTTTGTAGTGCTGTTTTTCTACAAGCATGCAAACCATCCCTCGTTCCATCCTTCTTTCTGTTTCCATCCATGCTTTATATATTTTCTCGTGATGCAAAACTCTGGGAACATTTTCTATGGGCACATTTCATGTGGTACATGCATTCAACCTTGCAGGTGGCTGCGTTGGTGGACTCAGGAGTTGTGTTGGCATTTAAAGACCCACACTTGGACGCACCAGATGATTTGGTGCTGCGCTTGGCTCGCCTTGCCCTCTCCTGCACCGCCATGCCTGTAGCCTCCCGCCCGTCCATGAATCAAGTGCTGGGAGAGCTGCTGAAGTTGAAGCAGGAGGCATTCGGAGAACATGTGAGCGATGCCGTAACTCGCATAGACATGGAAATTGGGACTTCCATTGGCTCCTCCAGCTTCACTGCTGAAATGGCTCGTGCAGAGCGAGAGGGCATGCCGAGCATGGGCATTTCATAGGCTTTGATTTGACATGCACCCCAGCCTGATAGTTAAGAGTGCGTGTGAAGGGATACGGGTAGTACCTCCCTAGGGTGGACATGTGATATTGTGATTTGTGACGTGGGTTTGGGGAAGAGCAGGTAGCATTGGGTTGTCTATGCCTCGGTTTAGATGTGGAAGGAGGGTCAGGATTTAGGTGTGGGGGAGGACTCGGAAAGGGAGTGCGGAAGGGGAGGATAACCCTGGTACAGCAAGTGGGGAAGGTTTGAGGGGCTGGGGCAAGGCAGTGTGAGAGGTATGAATAGAGCAGGTATGAATAGAGCAGGTACAATAATCACTACAAGTACAATGATTCTCAGGACTTTGCTGTTACAATATCTAGCATTATTTTCTAAAAGATCTTAAGCCCTACGTTGTCAAAGCACGTGCAAAATCCTGACAACTCTGCAGCCCTACGTTGTCAAAGCACATGCAAAATCCTGACAAACCTTAATTCTTTTTGGAATCTTTGTACATATCTATCTAGGAGGGTGGGGAACACATATCGACTTGTTGCCTATATCACCAGAGCAATTCTTGCCGTTATATTCGTAAAAGTCCACATTATTTTTTTAAAACATGTAGCGAAAATAGTGGAACATGAATCACTCTTGCCCACTTTCTTGGATGTGCCCTTTTTGCAAGCGACGCTCGCTGTGAACGACCAATAGTCTGCCCTTAGACAGACCTGCCACAACAGGACACAAGAATGTCAAGCTTGACCAGGGAACCCTGAGGGGAAATGCATAACCGAGGCAAGGGTGATGAGTGCAGATTCATACGAGTTCAATTCACAAGTTCCATGCGTCTTGGCCCAAGGAAGTACTCCCACTTTTACTCCTCTACCATGCCACCCTCCTACCCCCTCCCCTCCGTCACACCTCCCTTACCCATTCCCTACCCCACCACGCCCGTTCACTTGAAAGGATCATTCGAACCTCGCAACCGTCACCTGCACTTGGATGTTGCTGGGGATGGTGCTGGAGCAAGTGAGGTCGGGGTTGTTGTGGTACAGATTAACCCAGTCCGTTCCCGTGACGTTCACGCCCGTCTCCTTAATGTACTTTTGAATGATCCTCTCGCATGTGGTTTGCGCTGTCAGTGTGCCGTATCGCAGGCACTCAGGGACGGTGCAGGCCACAGCAGAGCTGCGCTCGATGCACACGGACTGGCCTGCCTTGAGGCCATTGGTCGAACAGTTGAGGCCGCGGTTGAGCTTAGCCAGCTCTCCCGCACCCAAGCTGAGCTGCACGCTGATGGACGAGCAGGTGTCACTCTGGGGGGTTAGGCAATGCACAGGAGAATACACATGGTGCTAATTACAATGGGACGGTGTGTTGTTTACAATGGGACGGTATGGTGTGTTGTTTACAATGGGACGGTGTGTTTTTTACAATGGAACAGTGTGTTGTTTACAATGGGACGGTGTGTTGTTTACAATGGGACGGTGTTTACTTTACAATGGGACGGTGTGTTGTGTGCAATGGGGTTGGTGTGTTAATAAGAATGGGGCGGTCTGTTGTTTAAAATCGGACGGGTGTGTTGTTTACAATGGGACGGTGTTTTCTTTACAATGGGACGGTGTTTTCTTTACGTGGTTAGACGAATCGGTTGAGACCCTGTTGAGTGCAATGAAACGAAGAGGCCACCGCTGCACGGTCTCACCTTGAGGGCGTAGAACAAGGCAGTGCAAGGAATGTCAGAAGCACCATCCAGCTGCACGACACTGCCCTTAGCCAATGCCTGGCTGCAATTCATCCCCTGCATTGTGAAAAAAAAAAACATGAAGAAGAGGCAGCGTGAGAGATGGGGTTTTGGACTTACTACCTCGCTCTCAGTACCAAAGAAGAAAGATGTTTCAGATAAAAAGGTAACAAAGTGTGGTGCGAGATCAACCAGACCTTTGCCATGTGGTGTGTCACTCCTGAACCAATCATTACCACGTTTGTGGAACGGAATGTGTCCAATGGGATGCCAACAAGTGCACACACGTCTGAGCACTGCCAGTTGTCTCCAGACACTGTCATGTCTGTAGCTGAAGTCGCTGTAGTTAGAGAGTAGAGCGATGACAAAGGCATTCAGGAGAGAGGTGTACGACTGGGGAGAAAGGATCATGCCTCATTCTTTACTTGTGAGGAAATTCAATCAAGACAACCTTAGAATTATAAAGGCCCAAAACTTGGCCCAGTGAAGCGTCACCTGGATGACAGTGAAGCGTCACCTGGATCAAAGTGAAGCGTCACCTGGATCACAGTGAAGCGTCACCTGGATGACAGTGAAGCGTCACCTGGATCACAGTGATGCGTCACCTGGATCACAGTGAAGCGTCACCTAGATCACATGTGGGAAAGCCATAGAGTGTAATCCTTTCAACGTGGTTGGGAGGGAAGACGCAGGAGTAGGAGCCATTGATATCTTTGATGCATGCGCCCATGTAGCAGGGGTTCTTGAAGTCCGACCCACACACGTCCACTGCCACCGTGACAAAGGGGTGATGGATTGGATACCATACGGATTGGACTCGAAAAAAAAAAATACATTGAGAGGTGATGGACACGGGGACAAGCGAGGCATGGGGACAGGACATGTGAGAAAGGCCAAGGGTGTAGCAGGGTTATCACCCCATGACACATTCCCTCCAGTGTAGGTTGAGGGCTCGAACCTCGTACTCATCAGCAAGCTCTTACCATAAGCACATGTTCTGGAGCCATCTCCATTGTCAACCTCAGCAAAGGGTTGCAGAGCTTGAGTAACATTTCCAATCACACAGGTGCATGTGTTGCCTTCATTGGTCTTCTGGCATGGAAACCGGCCACAAGGATTCATGCCGTTCGAGTCTTGATCGCTCTTGTAGCTGTTGATTCTACATGGGTCCTCTGGAACTGCAAGGGGAACGAGAAAGCACAATAGAAAATAAGCACACGAACATGGGAAAACCGTGTTAGTGTCTTTGCAACTTAGTAACCCATGCGCGGTTCGTAGAAGCTTAGCGTCACTTAGTGCTTCCTAACTTGCCCCACCATCCTGAATGTGCAACATTGCCAACAACCCCGATTGACAGTCAAACTTGATTGGCAAGGTAGTTGCATGACCACTGGTGACAGCATTCTGGGATGTTGATTACAAAGTGCAAAGGGATACCTGTGTACTTCCCTCTTCCTCACTCTTAACACCAATGTATGCACTTTGGTGCACAATTGTAATAAGCTCGTCTGCTTCTGTCCCACCATGAATTATCAAGAGGCAACCCCTGTTTGCTCGTTGTACGAGGGAGGCGTCGGGGTGGAAAGGATGGGAGGGGGCGGGGGAAGGTTTGCTGCTCTTGCATGTTTAGATGCCAACCCCTGAGCAGATGCATACATGCATTCCACGTTCTTGACCAAAAAAATAGTAGATGCCTCAACTCTGACAATGGGGTAGATGCCAGGCAGCACGTTGATGCGACAGACGCCATATCCTCCCTGAATGTCCATATACATGTGCCCACTGTCGGCCCACCCAACGCTCCACGAGTTGCGGATGATCCAAGATGGAGGGAAAATGCGGTTCTGGCTGCCGTCGTCGCGGTTGATGAAGTAACCGACGACGAGCACCACGTGGTTCGGACTCCCCGTGCAGCACGCCGGGTCCTGGTACTTGAACGCCTAAAGTCGGTAGGAAGTGAACGTGTGAGAAATCAAGGTATAGTATAATCTGACACAATGCATGCATCCGGCAAAGAAAAAATCGAAAGAGCAGAAGTATGAGGAGCGATGCATAATGTAAAACCAAAGGTTCGAAAATATGTCTGCTTGTGAAGCATGCATATGGATGTATGCACTGTCTTACAAAAGAACAACTCACCCCATAATACTGGAAGAACGTGTCTGCGGAAGCTTCGATGTGAACCACCAATGGCTGGCGCCGCGCTACCAGCATGAGCCCAAAGTACCCTTGAAGAGCGCCCGTTCAAATGCTGCCACTGGGTATGTTTTTGCCTAGGAGCACAAGAACGGGGTTGAAATTGCACGAATAGAGCAAATGGAATGAGGGAGGTACAGACTCCACGACATGGCCATGTTCTTTATGCTGTACAGAACCTAAGAAACAAAAAGCTCATTTACAACTGGAGAGAGCTCACCGCACTGCACTGCCAGCCTATCACTAATCACAAAATATCTTTTTAGGAATGCATTACCAGCTCTCTTTAGGAATGCATAAGGAATGCATAAAAGAACCCTTGCTTTCACAAACTTTTCCGAGGGGATTGAGTCAAAAAAATGCACGCAAACACACCACTTGCGACTCACCGCACCTCACTTACCATGCCATGCCCTCATGTCATACGCCTGATCATACCGTGTCATTGGCTGCTGTGAGTCCACTGCTGTTGTCAAGAGTGACGAGCGTCTCAAACGCCGCGGTGGGGGAGCCGCCTGCGGTGCACTTGTCGGTGCCGGTGAGACCCATGGCTGCAAACAGCGACTCCACTGACAGCTGGGGTGCGGCTTGGTTCAACGCGATGCCGTATGCCGCCTCCACACTCGCCACCAGTGCATACGCCCAGCAAGCACCTTAGGAGAGAGAAGATACGGAAAGAGAGCATCGTGCTCAGACTCTGTGAGGGTGGGGTAATGTTGCAACAGAATCGTGTAATTGCAAGCACGACTATAGATGTGGATGAGCTTGCAACGTGATACTTAGGTACGCCATAATAAAAGATTACACCACCTGTAAGCTGGTGGAGCTCCCATGAGCAGAGTTTTTCAAAAGGGACATCAAGTCTCCATTGCCTTGCCACTCACTGCAATCCAGCTGATCCTCGCCACTCACTGCAATCCTGCTGATCCTCGCCACTCACTGCGATCCAGCTGATCCTCGCCATTCACTGCAATCCGGCTGATCCTTGCCACTCACTGCAATCCAACTGATCCTCGCCACTCGCTGCAATCCAGCTGATCCTCGCCACTCGCTGCAATCCAGCTGATCCTCGCCACTCGCTGCAATCCAGCTGATCCTCGCCACTCGCTGCAACCCAGCTGATCCTTGATGGGCCAGTCGAGGAAGGCCATGGCGTCCCAGTTGTGCAAGTCGCGGATGGCCCACGAGTCTGCACTCACACGGCTGCCCGTCCATTGGTAGTCTGTGTTCACATAGTGCGAGAAGGGGCTTGCGCTTGGTGGTACGTATGTGTCCTCCGACACTACAATGCCAAAGGCTGTGAGGGGTGGACGATTAGATACACGTGGATTAGAAGATGCAGGAGAGCAGTAGCTGAGCTTAGAGGCACACATAACAGTGTGTGCTGCACATATATATTTGTAACACCCGTGTAGAGCATGCCACGTTCTACGTAAGTAGAAATGTTTTACCATTTTCCGCTTTTCTTGTGCACTCATTCATTCAACATGTGCACGACAAACGTTTGTGTTAATGAACATCCTCGCCTGATTGGATACTTCTGGTTTCTATGGACAATCTGAACTGATGGTCTTCACATGGCAGAGATGTCACATGGCAGAGATCTCACATTGATTTTGCTCTGGCTCGGGTGGAGTGGGTATGTCTGTCAGGCGAGGGGACACACAAGGAAACAGACAACCGAAGCAGTTTTGACATGATAGGTGAGGAGGCTTCAGTCGAAAAAAAAGAACCATAAGACTAGTTGGCTAATGGAATCTCACTCTAACTTGCTAACACGACGGACTCCAAATAGCTAAAAGCTTATGCAACAGCTTACATCATTTACCATGCGAAGCAGAACTAGCACCAGTTCCCACAACCGTGTCAGCCGTGGCAGCATATAAGGGTGCAGATGAGCAGCGGCACGATGCGGCGTTATTCGCATTGCCACCACCAAAATATACTACGCCATTATCACCACCATCCATTCCTCTCAAATTCACCATCACACCACACTCGTTGGTATCAGTGTCAGTCACCCCAGTGAACCAACGCTTGCCTGTTCGCACGGCGGAGGAACGGATGACATCCATGAGGAACGGCTTCACAGTGTTGGACGCCACAAAGCCAAAGAATAACGCCGCCTGCACGCCACTGGCTGCAGCACGGCACACAGCGACACCTCCCTCTCCAGCAGTGGCTCCTCTGGCTTCACCTTGGAGTCGGCCAGATACTCCTTGATGGACCCACGGTTCCACTGGTCATAGTCCACCCACGCCGTGTAGTAATCGCCGCTGCTCAGCGTGAATCCTGACTCCACCGCCACCAAGGAAATTTACGAGCCATTTATGTTCAGCCCCACGTGCTGCTCCTTCTTGTCATTGTACTTGGTATTCTAAAGCGTGTCGAACTCAATGGCTACGCTCTGTGCTGCCATTCCATCATACCCCATACCGTCTGCTTTCCCCACCTTGGCCTTTGCCGTGATCACAAACGCGAAGCCGTTGGATCCACCAGAGCCAGAACCACCCAAGGGAAGGAGGCAGAATGTAAAGTTGACTCTGAAAGCCAACTCTACACCGCATCCCGTGCTCAAACGCGTTGGGTAAGCAAAGAGGTTTACTACTTCGGCCATAAACATCCCCGCTGTCTGTTGCTGCGTTCCCTTGGTCAGAAGAGTGAACGTGGGCAGAATAGGCTTGCTAATGGAGAGGTTTTGAGTGGGCGCAGTCGTTGGCGTGGACTCTGGCAGGCGTCTACGCTGTGCTCGTGAAAGGGCGTGGAGCACCAATCAGCCGCGCGCACCTGCGACGCAGGTGCACCGTTGTCCTGCGGGTGCAACGCTGTGCAGCCGACTTGCTGCAGCGTTGGCACAACGTGTACTTGCAACGTTGGCGAGCCGCATCTATGCACTGCTGGAGCGTGGTCGACCAAGTCGTGCTGGCACGCGGTCGACCGTGCTACGCTGGCAGTCCACCAGCCGTTTTGCTAGCTCAGGTGAAGTTTGGGTTGCCAGTGTTGTTGCTATCAATCTGATCTTTTTGTTGCCAACTTTTGCTAGTGAAACTCTTGCAAATTCTCCCTGTGAATGTGTGCGTGGAGAGAACACAAGCAAATGACTAAGGAACGAACGCGGAGATCACCCTTGCCCCGTGCCTACCCCGTAGACTAGCTCTCGTTGCTAGAGTTATCTCCGCAGCAATAAAACGTCGAGCGCTGTGGTCGATGCAATGAAACGTCGAGCGCTATAGTCGATGCAATGAAACGTCGAGCGATGTGGTCGATGTAATGAAACGTCGAGCGATGTGGTCGATGCAATGAAACGCCGAGCGATGTGGTTGATGCAATGAAAGTTGTGGTCGATTCAATGAAACGTCGAGCGTTGTGGTCGATGCAATGAAAGTTGTGGTCGATGCAATGAAACGTCGAGCGCTGTGGTCGATGCAATGAAACGTCGAGCGCTATGGACGATGCAATGAAACGTCGAGCGCTGTGGTCGATGCAATGAAACGTCGAGCGCTGTGGTCGATGCAATGAAACGTCGAGCGCTGTGGTCGATGCAATGAAACGTCGAGCGCTGTGGACGATGCAATGAAACGTCGAGCGCTGTGGTCGCTGCAATGAAACGTCGAGCGCTATGGTCGATGCAATGAAACGTCGAGCGATGTGCTCGAACGTCGAGCGATGTGCTCGATGCAATGAAACGTCAAGCGCTCTGCTCGATGCAATGAAACGTCGACCGCTCTGCTCGATGAAATGAAACGTCGCCCGCTCTGCTCGAGGCAATGAAACGTCGCCCGCTCTGCTCGAGGCAATGAAACGTCGACCGCCTTGTTGGACGCAATGAAACGTCGAGCGCTGTGGTCGACGCAATGAAACGCCGAGCGCTCTGGTCGACGCAATGAGACGCCGAGCGCTGTGGTCGACGCAATGAGACGCCGAGCGCTGTGGTCGACGCAATGAGACGCCGAGCGCTCTGGTCGACGCAATGAGACGCCGAGCGCTGTGGTCGACGCAATGAGACGCCGAGCGCTGTGGTCGACGCAATGAGACGCCGAGCGCTGTGGTCGACGCAATGAGACGCCGAGCGCTGTGGTCGACGCAATGAGACGCCGAGCGCTGTGGTCGACGCAATGAGACGCCGAGCGCTGTGGTCGACGCAATGAGACGCCGAGCGCTGTGGTCGACGCCGAGCGCTGTGGTCGACGCAATGAGACGCCGAGCGCTGTGGTCGACGCCGAGCGCTGTGGTCGACGCAATGAGACGCCGAGCGCTGTGGTCGACGCAATGAGACGCCGAGCGCTGTGGTCGACGCAATGAGACGCCGAGCGCTGTGGTCGACGCAATGAGACGCCGAGCGCTGTGGTCGACGCAATGAGACGCCGAGCGCTGTGGTCGACGCAATGAGACGCCGAGCGCTGTGGTCGACGCAATGAGACGCCGAGCGCTGTGGTCGACGCAATGAGACGCCGAGCGCTGTGGTCGACGCAATGAGACGCCGAGCGCTGTGGTCGACGCAATGAGACGCCGAGCGCTGTGGTCGACGCAATGAGACGCCGAGCGCTGTGGTCGACGCAATGAGACGCCGAGCGCTGTGGTCGACGCAATGAGACGCCGAGCGCTGTGGTCGACGCAATGAGACGCCGAGCGCTGTGGTCGACGCAATGAGACGCCGAGCGCTGTGGTCGACGCAATGAGACGCCGAGCGCTGTGGTCGACGCAATGAGACGCCGAGCGCTGTGGTCGACGCAATGAGACGCCGAGCGCTGTGGTCGACGCAATGAGACGCCGAGCGCTGTGGTCGACGCAATGAGACGCCGAGCGCTGTGGTCGACGCAATGAGACGCCGAGCGCTGTGGTCGACGCAATGAGACGCCGAGCGCTGTGGTCGACGCAATGAGACGCCGAGCGCTGTGGTCGACGCAATGAGACGCCGAGCGCTCTGGTCGACGCAATGAGACGCCGAGCGCTGTGGTCGACGCAATGAGACGCCGAGCGCTGTGGTCGACGCAATGAGACGCCGAGCGCTGTGGTCGACGCAATGAGACGCCGAGCGCTGTGGTCGACGCAATGAGACGCCGAGCGCTGTGGTCGACGCAATGAGACGCCGAGCGCTGTGGTCGACGCAATGAGACGCCGAGCGCTGTGGTCGACGCAATGAAACGTCGAGCGCTGTAGTCGATGCAATGAAACCCTGCCCGTCCGCAAGTGCGTTTCCCCCTTCCCGTCGCCGCGGCGCCCGATTCGTGTCGCCGCGGCGCCCCTTGTTCCCGTCGCCGCGGTGCCCCGCATTCCCGTTGCTGTGGCGCTCGATTCCCGTCGCCGCAGCGCCCCTTTCTTCCCGTCGTCGCAGTGCCCCGTGTTCCCGTTGCCGAGGCGCCCGATTCCCGTCACCGCGGTGCCCCTTTCTTCCCGTCGCCGCGGCGTCCCTTTCTTCCCGTCGTCGCGGACGCCAGCGCCACCGCCAGCGCCTAGTGACGAGCGCCAGCCACGAGCGCCAGCGACCAGCGCCAGCGCGTACACCAGCACCTGCGCCAGCCGCAAAGCGCCAGCGCCTGCGTCATCCGCGAGCACCAGAGCCTGCGCCAGCGCCAGCAGCTCCGTACGCCCCCCCCCCCCCCCCTGTGAGAGTACGACGGCTTATGCTAGCTTTGCTAGCTTGCTTGGACTTTATTATGCATTATCTAGCTTAGCTTTGCTTTATTTTGCTTGCTTTTGCTAGATTTCCTAGGTTCGTTGCTTTTACTATAGTTATTATAGTTGTAGGCACCGAACTAGGTTGAGTGCACCGAATTCTAGGCTTTTCGATTGCCACCGAATTGCCTTCTACCGAATTCGGGAAGGACCCGTTCGGGACGCTTCGCGACCCGCGGAACCTTCTAGTAACACCCGGGTTACTGCCTTTGTGTCGAGCCTATATATAGCCTCGCCTTGTACCCAGGTGAATCATTCAATAGAATCATCTTTCCTGAACCAGATCCTCACACCCCCCTTCCCTTCCCTTCCGCGGCTTCTGCTGTTGGGGGGGGGGGGGGGGGGGGGGGGGGGGGGGGGGGAGATGTGGGGGTGGCAGGTGTGAACCGCCAGCGTAGGCACCAACACCAACCGCCAACGCCAGCAGCTATCGCCGCCCCCCTCCCTCCATTCCGCGGCTTTCGCCATGGGGAGGGAGATGAGGGGGTGGAAAAGGGGTGATGAGAGGGTGGCGGGTATGTGAAGGTGAAAGGAGGGTGAGGGTGAGACTTGAGGGGACGGCAGATTTAGGGGGTGAGGTTAAAGGGGGGTGGTTGAGTTGAGTGTTGAAGGTTATTAAGAGGGATTGCAGGCATGGAGTTGGTACACTCATGCTGGCCCCCCACCTTCTTTCCTTTTCCCTCACTCCTCCCCCCCCCCCCCCCCTTTGTAAAAAGGGGTTATTAAGAAGGAACGCAGGCATGAAGTTGGTACACTCATGCTGGCCCCCCACCTTCTCTCCTTTTCCCTCTCTCATTCTTACCTTCCCCTTAGTACTCCTCTCATCTCCTCTCTCCTTTGCTTGCCTCGTTTCCCTCACTTACCACCCTCTGCCTTCTTTTGCTACACCCTCAGGGAGTGCTGACTGCAATAGTTCCTACCACAAGCAGGCTAAGGGGGTGTGTCAAAGTTATATTTAAGTTATATCCTGCTTGTTGTAGTTACTGTAGTCATTACAAACTGTTGGTGGTGCACCACATGTTCCTTCTTGCCTATTTGTACTCCTCGACCTATAGTGGAACCCCTGTTTGGCCAAACTCTCGACACTCTCCCAAAACCCTAGTCATAAGTTATCTTAAGCTTCTAAAATCCTGTTACAGCTACAACACCTAGGGGAAGCGCTGCACATTCAGAGCAACGTCAGACAGATGAAAAACGAAAACAATAACAGAAAACAAAAACCAAATATGAATTCACTTACAGCTTCAACCCTTCCACCAAATTGTTCTGAGCCGTAAATAATAAGCTACCTGCAATTCTTCCAGGAAAAAAAAAAAAAATGAAGTAATTGACTAGAGTGAGCCACATGCAGAGGAAGCGGGTGGGAATGAACTCACCATGAACCCTAGCAAAATCCCTTTCTCCGACGCACAGCGTTCCGTGACGCTTGCAGACGACTTGTACAAATGCAAGGAATAAAAACAAACCGCATGGAAACGAAGAATAGTCAGTAAAAACCGACTATGGTTCGGAAGTCGCCTATAATGAAGACCTACCAATGCGTATAGGCCGGAAAAGGGTAACAAAAACGGAAGAGACTCAGTTGGAAAGCGGAACTATGAAACTACGTGCTCACGCATGTGCGGATGTTCGTGTGAATGTACGTACGTGCTAACGAATGTAGGTATGCGCGTGCAAGTGTAGGCACTTATAAAATCTCCTCTGGTCGCGCAGCATGCGCTCGGCGCGATGCACATGCCAGTTGTGTGCGCGCAGGTATCGTCGCAGTCACGCGTCGGAGCAGAATATCTGCGCGTGTTTGGGAAGCACGGCGAGAGATGCGTGCGGATCATTCACCTGCACGTGCAGAAACGAGCATAGGGAATAATTGTGAGCGCAGAACCGCGCAGAAACAGAAAACGAGAGTGCGGAAGCGCGCAGCAGAAACATGAAGCGCTGAAGGGGAGCATCGTTGCTCGGTACATTGGGCTAGCCAATGGAAAATACATGCGAAAAGGGAAGAATTGGCAGCAGTACTACAGTCGACGGTACTAGAGCATATAACACACAAGTGGAGCAGAAACATCCACATAGCACTAACAATTGACTGGCAGACAGCCTGCTGAAAAGAACAGGCACGTGGTGGCGAATGAACAAGGTGGGAAAGTGCTCTGGGGCTTTGACTTTGGAGGAAGGGAAGTCAAGCTGGCTGTGGGTAGACAAAACAAAAAAGTGGTCAAAAAAAAAAAAGGCTGTGGTGTAGCGTTTGACTTCCCTAAACTAGCGAGACAACTGATCAGCACGGTCAGCAAATAATGAAAACTTTCAAACGAAAATTTGCAAACAACCACCACAACATGTGGACCAATTGGATGAGAGCGTTTTGGTGAAGCTGCCACCAGCGCATCACGCGGACCAGTTGGATGTGGGCGTTTTGGTGAAGTTGCGACAGTAACATCGCGTTGGCAAGTAATGTGCTGGCGCACATGATACAGACGAATTCCATTCGCTGGGAGCAATGGAATGGAATCGTGCTGGAATGCAGCTTTGCGTTGGCGATGTCGGTGAAGCATAATGCACCTGGTAGGCAGCTGCTCTAGGTGCTAGTGAGGCTGCTGCCTTAGGTGCTAGAGAGTCTGCTCTCTCAGGTACTGCGCCTGCTGAGGCCTTGCACACCTTCACGCTTGACTCAGGTGCTTCCCGCTGTTTCTTTCGTGACAGTACAGCCCTCACACCACTCCCTGCACCTGTTGCAGTGTCTCTGGCTGACCCCTCCTTCTCTGGCACCACCGTCTGGGTCACCCCTCCTTGCCACGTGTACATGGCATGCACCGTCGCCTCCTTGTGTCTGGTCTTCCCAGGTCTCTCCCTCCCCTCCCTGCCTCGCCTGCGCCGCCCTGCCTTCCTTGCGTCGAGGGGCGGCAGCGCGCCACTCCTCACTCCTCGTTTTCCCCGTCAGGGGCTCCCTTGCAGACCCTTCACCTGGACGTGTGGGGCCCAGCCCGCGTTCGTGGACAGGGCGGTGAGCGGTACTTTCTGCTGGTTGTCGACGACTACTCGCGTTACACCACGGTCTTCCCCTTGCACACCAAGGGTGAGGTCCCTGCTGTCCTGATCCCTTGGATCCGAGCAGTTCGTCTCCAGCTCCGCCGGAGGTTCCGTACGGACCATCCTGTCCTGCGTCTGCACTCTGACAGAGGTGGTGAGTTCACCTCCGACCTCTTGCGGGCCTTCTGTCAGGGGGAGGGCATCGAGCAGTCGTTCACGCTTCCGGGCTCATTGCCGCAAAATGGGGTTGCTCAGCGCCGCATTGGCTTGGTCATGGAGATCGCTCGTACCTCCTTGATCCATGCGGCGGCTCCCCATTTTCTGTGGCCGTTTGCAGTTCGGTACGCCGCGCATCAGCTCAACCTCTGGCCCCGTGTCTCCTTGCCAGACACCTCGCCCACACTGCGTTGGACGGGAGAGGTTGGTGATGCGTCGCGTTTCCGAGTCTGGGGTGCTCGTGCCCTTGTCCGCGATACGTCCGCGGACAAGCTCTCCTCCCACACCATTCCCTGTGTCTTCCTTGGCTTTGTCCCTGACGCGTCTGGCTGGCAGTTTTACCACCCCACCTTTGACGAGTCGGTTCCTTTCTACCGTCTCTTCCCCTACCGCACTGCCCCTCTCCCTCCCCCGCCGCTTTTCCTCGCTCCAGGTCCCCCTCCGGTAGACCCCCTCCCCCCTCAGGGTCCTGCTCCTTCAGGTGTGTCTCAGGTAGACCCACTCCCCTTGGCTGAGCCTTTGGAGGTCACTTCTGACACCTCTGGCCCAGCTGAGGGGGGTGACGTTGCTGCTGACGCCCCGGCGGCCTACCGCCGCACACCACGCTTGGAGACCCCTCCGGGTTTCCCGCCGCGACCGTCTTCGCCGCCTCTGCAGCCGGTTACTGTTGACTCTGGTGCTGCTGGGGGTGGTGCTACTCGGGGTGCTGCGTCTGGGGGTGCTGAGCCTGTGCGTGAGGTGCTGGGGGGTGTGGAGCCTGGGGGTGCTGAGCCTACGGGTGCGGAGCCTGAGGGTGCTGAGCTGGAGGGTGCCGGGTCGGGGGGTGCTGAGTCAGCTGGCGTTCCTCCGGGTCTCGTTTCCCGGCGGGAACCTCTCTCACCAGAGCAGCTACGAGAGTGGCTTGCGTGGCGTACCCGCCTGAGGAGTCGTGTTGCTGGAGCTGGAGGTACGGCTGCTCGAGGTGCTGCGGTTGGAGCTGCTGGTGCTGCTCGTCGTGGAGGCGCTGGGAGTGCTGGTGTTTCTGGTTCTGGAGGTGCTCGTACTGGAGGTACTGGAGCTGCCAGGACTGGTGGTGCTACTGGAGCTGGAGGCCCTGGAGCTGCTAGCGCTGGAGGTGCTGGTGGTGCTGGTGGTTCTGGAGGAGCTGGAGCTGTTAGTCCTGGAGGTGCTCGTCCTGGAGGTGCTCGTCCTGGAGGTACTGGAGCTGCCGGAGCTGGTGGTGCTGCCAGTACTGGTGGTGCTGGTGGTGCTGGCACTGCTGGTCCCGGAGGTGCTCGTACTGGCAGTACTGGAGGTGCTCTCTCACCTCAGCAGCTGCGCGAGTGGTACGCTCAGCGCTACCGCCTTCGGAGTGG